GGTTTAAATCTGGGACTCCCCACCATTTGACCTTAGAACTGAAGAAGCTTCTCGGATGAGAGGTGAAACGTCTTCAAGTAACTTAAAGGAGTCCAGACGCTTTTCTTTGCAAGCTCCTTTGACTACGATGACCTGGATGACTGAGAACCTTCACAGATAAAAATCAGATAATCAAGAAAACCAACTTTTCTGGAAGAAGTTTAGATGAATTCACAAATCTTTAGGTTTTCGTTTCTGGGTTTTATTGACTAATCATTTTGAATTATATGGTGCTGTAGATCATCCAGGAGGTGATGGTAGCTTGGTTTACTTTAGCGATTTGCTTGTTTTTGTCAAAATAAAAACTTTTTTCCACCTAAAAAGAAAAGAATGCAAAAAGAGATGGTCCTCATTGAACTACATGATTCCAGCCTGTTCAGTGGCCATGTCTGGTTCACCCTATTTGAAACAGAAGAAGTGTAAGTATACAACAGTTTTATGGACTGTGCATCATCCTTTAAAGCCCAAATGTTTGTATCTACAGTAAACATTTTCTGTCAGTTAACAAAAGCTTTCATTTTTATAATTACAGTACAGTCAGAGTTCGCAGAACTTTCTGTAACTTTACACATTTATTTTTTCATAATTCAAGCCCAAAGAGTTGTGCTGACAGAGTTCTTCTATTGCATTTCTTTTCTTATATTGAAATATCTCAGTGAATAAATGTGCACTTAAACTTCTGTACGTCAACATAAATAGAAGTTTCGCCAGTCCAGCCGCTTAAGATCGAAGTGAGCTGTATGTGGCTCATGATGTCAAATGACTTTAACATCCTTGCTCTAGATCCGTCGCAGTCATGTGGTCAGATTAGGAATTGTTGCCTCGTTGTTTTTCCCGTTCTTCAGATGGATAAAAAAAACAAACATGGCAATGGTATATTAATGCAGGAGGGGGAGAATCTAACTATATATGAGCAGAAACTTAAATTTCAATTTCTCCAAAAGCTCTGAGCTACCCGCCGCGCTGTAGCTTTGATCATAGTGGAATAATGTGCTTTGATGCTTAGAATAAAAGATCTACCTTTTGATGTGCATGTGGGGGTCTGATTTATTCTGCTTTTTTTACCCCTTGATACTGTGGGTTTCCATGAAACAGTTGGAAGTCATCACTTGTCTCGATCTGACCCAAATTTGGTGTCAGGATGTTATAAAACTAAGATCACAAGCCTCGCCCTTGCTGCTGTCTTAAGCTGAGAGCACTCCCAGGTGTTTGCCATCTCTCTCTGATTTGTCTGGATGGATAGAAGATGGTTCAAAGTCCTTGTGGATCCTGCTTGGAGATAGTCGGCGGTGCTACTGTGGGGCTGCTTTGGATGTTCCAGGGGGGTCAGGTAGTGAATTGGGGTTTAAAAGTGTGTCACAGATGTTGCACGAAATTACAGCCATCATAACTCCAGGAGGCTGAAAAAACCCTTTTGAAATTCAATCAGTAAGAAATTGCGTTTTAAAAACTCTTTTTTTCTTTTCTTTTAACCATATGGCCGCAAACACAGCCCGACGTGTGCATTTATTGATGTCCTGGTTCTTTAATTTAAAGGAGTGCACATTTTAAAGGATTCATTATGTGCTGTTTATATCGAAGCAGCTGCATGGATGGAATACGAATGTAAGTGCATGCGTGATGGAGATGTTGCTGGGAAACTGAAACGGGATCATTAGGACCATTTGACAGAGCTAGGTGATGTGAACACACACTCAAACTGACACCGCGTAATTAATAAATGATTATGCCCGTGCCGTGGATTAATAACAGAGCGAAAACTCTGCGAGGCAGCGAATCGGTTATGCTGATAAAAGCCCTCCATTTTCTATCAGATGACCCCATCTTGAATAACAACCAGAGGCTGAGAGGAGGCGAGGGCAGGATGTTTGGGTGTCTAGACACGCAGCTGTGTGAGTCATGCAGCAGTGAGGACAAACCTGGGCTACTAAATTGGAACCACCTTGTCAGATTTAATCTGCTTTCATTTCAAGACCCCCGCTGTTGTACCCGCTGTACTCGTAAACCCGGCACAACAGGCTCCATGTCTACTGTTTTCTTTATCACCTACTTCAAACGTCTACAAGCTCAAGGTCAAAAATAATACTGGAGACCATAATGGAGATAATCTACTGCATGTGCTGAAAAGTAAAAACAATTGTGCAATAGAGCCTTCGATGTCTGACACTTTTGCCCACTCAGTGGAGCTGACGCGCTGTTTCGACAAGCTGCGCCTCTTTGATCGGCGGCGTTGGGTCAGAAAGAGATTGTTTCACTTTGGTTTCCCTCGAGCTCTCCATCTTTTGTTACATAAGTACACACGGGTGCTGCTCATAAAGCACTGCCACCTCCATATTTTCAGCACTTGTGCCACAACTATCAGTCTGCTCAACAATAAATCTTCATGTTGTAACTGAGTTACAGATAAGAGTTTTCCCCGGAAGTTTGCTTCTCGTGCTGCAGCTGCACACGCTTCTGTGAGACTAGGCATCGGTGGAGCCGAAGACCTTCACTGTGACTTCCAGAGACTCTTAATCCGCTTAGATATTCGGTGTATCCTCTACACAAATAAAATTTGCCCTGACTGTATCTCCTCTCCTCCCTCTCTGTTCTTCCAGAATTCAGACGACCTCCTGGTAGCATCGGCTGAATGTCCTAGCGATGACGAAGATTTGGAGGAGTGCGAGCCTGGAAATGGTGAGTCAGCTCAGGGAGTTCTGCCTTTGTTGTATTTTATCTGGAAACAAAGTCAGCCTGAAACACAAAAGCAGAGTTATCTAGACTATCTCAATGTCCCTTTCTCCTCTTCTAAATGATACCTTGTGACTGCGCAGCCCCCCTGTATGCAGCTCTGATTGGCCAGATGTGTACTCTCTGAGTTTTTTTTCTTATTGCTTTTTAAAGCAGCAGGCAGTCAGCAGCATTGTGGTCTGTCAATTGCTCAGCCATGTGGTAATACCTGGCAGTTTCCCAGCTGTTGCACCAATCCCCTGCCCCGATTTTAACAAGGCAGGACAGTTCCAACGTGGAAACACAGCTTGTTCTGCATGGCGCACAGCTGTAGCTTGGCAGACCTGGTGGCTGAGGCACTGTTAGTGTGAACAGAGGGTCAAGCAATGTTCTGACACCATGTCAGGAGGTGGAAGTTAAAGGCCACGTGTTTTACTCCTTGCCGCTGTGGTTTCTAGCACTAATAAGCTGGCCATATTTAAAAACTGCCAAGAACCATGCCTGTTCAGTGAAAAAGTGAGATTCAAATTACTCGTGCAGCTACAAGTCAAGGCTTCTAAAACTCCAAGAGTCAGAAGATATGCATGTCCACATTAAATTATGCAGTATTTCATCCTTAAAGATCTTGAGTGACAAGAGTTTTGTGTTTAATGGGTTCACAGATTTGACTCTGGTGTGGGTGAAACCTTTAATCAAAGCAGAGCCACTATGATGCCACTGTCAAATAATAGAAAACATTAAATTCTTGGAGCATAAAA